CAATATGTATATTAGTGATAATGTCAACAGGTGTATTATAATTATATAAACTCAAGGCAAAGATTCCATAAATCTTGAATGTATACTTTGGAGGAAAAGCAAGTCATCATCTTGTCAATTAATTAATATTCTCTGGGACAGTTTCCTAAGCCAGGAATGATTAAATGATTTTTTGGCCCCATCTCAGTTGAAGCTTTCTATAATTCTAAAATTTAGCAATTTAATTAAAATATCTTTAGCAAACAAGTTATGTTAACTATTCCAAGCTAGGACACACCATTTTTTGTTGTTTGTTTAATCGCAATCTATATAGTATGATGGAACAGAAAAGTGTTTTTTTTCCCACTGTAAAGATATAAATTATCTTTATAATTCTGCATAAATGGCCATAAATAAATAGTAACTTTTAAAACTTGTTCTCAAGAAAGTCACATGCATGACTTGCAGGTCACATAACATCATATTTTTTATTAGCATCCTGGTTACTTTTCTCTGATTGCTTGTTTGTTTGCCATTTAACCTTTCATTTCCTGCTATGGTGATAATCTCCACATTTGTAAATGGAATGATGCCTTTAACGACTTTTGCATCTCGCATTCAAGTGAATTTTGTGTTTACTTCAGTGCTTCAAATACCAAAGAAGTCTAGAATTTTGAAGATGTCTTGAATTTGTGATGTTGCTTACCGCAAGTGCTTAAAGACACAGATTTAGGGATAAGAGAGCATTTTTTTTCCCAAAAGAAAATGACTCATTAATTGTAGATCTGAGTGAAAGCAAGGTGTCTCAAGTCATGTTTTTTCCCTCTTATGTACCTAATGGCAGGTGGTCAAATTTTTATTGACTTATTTCTCCCTCCTTTATCCCCAGTAACTTCATCTGTGTGCAGAGGAATAAAAAATGCAAATGGTTTAAAGTCTACAACTCTTGCATTATGCTTTGGCTGATATAAACATCACAACTAAAATCTTACAATGCTCCTTTTGAGGTCTTAGCCAAGAGGCCCTGGAGTTTTTCTACACTGAAATAATGTTGTCTTCATTTTTTTTTTTTTTTTTTTTTTTTTTTGAGACAGATTTTCCCTCTGTCTCCCAGGCTGGAGTGCAATGGCATGGTCCCAGCTCACTGCAACCTCCACTGCCCGGGTTCAGGAGATTCTCCTGCCTCAGCCTCCTGAGTAGCTGGGATTACAGGTGCCCACCACCGTGCCTGGCTAAGTTTTGTATTTTTAGTAGAAACAGGATTTCACCATGTTGGCCAGGCTGGTCTAAAACTCCTGACCTCAAGTGATCCCCCTGCCTCGGCCTCCCAAAGCGCTGGGATTACAGGCATGAGCCACCACACTCGGCTCATGTTGCCTTCACTATTTGACATAGAAGTAATAGTACCAAAGCTTAACAAAAATTAGTAAACAAATAGGAAATAATTGATTAATAATAATTGTTGTCATATCATTCTATATTTATTTGTTGAGCTTTTATCTATTATGGGGCAAGCATATTGCTTGGCCATGAATAAACAAAGTTCAATAAAGTATAAAGCACAATCTCTGTCATCTAGTTGTTCACACTCTATTTAAGGCATACACAGAAGTA